GACGGAATTTCTTTGTTTATAGTGAAAGGGTGCGGTGACGTGTTAGCTCCGATTTTAACTTTTATATTTAATCGGTCGTTGAATGTTAGGCTTTTTCCAACTGCATGGAAGTTCTCTCTAGTTGTGCCAATATTCAAAGATGGGTCGGCACTAACTGTCAGTTTTTATCGTCCAATTTCACTGATCTGTTCGTTTGCCAAGGTGTTCGAAAAGGTCATGCATTGTCATATTATGCATATTTTTTCCAGACGTATAAACGTGCAACAACATGGTTTTATGCCAAATCGTTCTGTGGCAACAAACTTAATCGCGTTTACGGAATTTTCGGGTGCCAAACTAGGGTCGAAGCAGCAGGTCGACGCAATTTACTTTGATTTTAAAAAAGCATTTGACCTAGTGAGCCATTCACTGCTATTTAAGAATTTTGCGTCCTATGGTATCTCCCTACCACTTTGCGAATGGATTCAGAGCTATCTGCATGACAGATGGAATTCTGTTTCATACGGTGGTACACAATCAACCGCGTACCTCTCCAGATCGGGAGTCCCGCAGGGTTCTAGCATATCGCCTCTGCTTTTCAACATCTTCCTGAACGATATTTGCTCATGCATAAATCACTCGGAAATGTCACAATTCGCCGATGACGTTAAGCTTTTTCGAGCTATTGTTGACATTTCTGAGTGCGATAAACTACAGTAAGATATTACAGCATTGGCAGACTGGTGCAAGGACAACAAGTTGGTTCTCAACCCGGCTAAAACAAAAGTCGTATTTTTTTCGAGGAAATATTTCTTTAACACCTTTGACTACACTTTGAACAAGTGCTCGATTGAGCGCGTTTCAGTTGTACGTGATCTAGGAGTTTTCTTGGAGAGTGAACTTAAATTCTCTGATCATGTGGCATACTTGAGCAATACATGTTACCGTACTTTGGGCGCGATTACCAGAATGATTCGAAACTTTAGGGGATATTCTTGCTTTTTGCATTTGTACCGATCCCTCATCCTGTCTAGACTGGATTTCTCCAGCGTTGTTTGGAATCGTTTAAACCAGACAAACTCGAATGAACTTGAAAATGTACAGAAGAAGTTTGTTCGACTACTTTACGATCGTTATTTTAACAGGCGAATTTATTTCAGCCATGAGCGATTGTTGAAGATTTTAAACCTGCATTGCCTCTCCGAAAGGATGCAGGCACGAGACTTTTTATTTTTGCACAAATGTCTTCACGGTTTCATAGATTGCGCCAAGCTAACCTCATCCGTATTCATTGCTGTACCTGGCAGGTCTCTTCGCTCCCATCGTGTTTTCGGTTCATCTGAGCCAAAAAGCTTAAGACCCATTGAGCGTATCCAGTATAATTTTAACATGTCAAATGTCGCAAACACGCCCGAAGTCGACATCTTTTTGCTAGAAAGTTTTAGTATGCGGTCTCTGCTAGTGCTTTTATAAAGTGACGCTCTCTTGTATCAGTCTTTTTAACAAACAGTGTTGTTTTCAACTTTATGCACTTTTTCTCATTTACATTTATATTTCACGTTTTTGTTTCTTCAAATTATGCATGCGTTTGCGTGCATGCTTTTTATGCAAAACTGCATGTAAGTGTCAACGGTGCACCCTTATGTAGGCCTACGGGCTGTATAGGGGCACCGGAAAAGTACAATAAATATATAAATAAATTCCCTCAAACACAGAATATATGGCTGTTTAGTTGCATACAGAAGCACTAGGCCTGGCAATAATATAATGATCGATGAAGTAGAGTATGAACTGCCGTGAATGGTCATTTTAGATATAAAATGAAATGTAAAGAAAATTGTATATCCCACTGAAATAATGGTAGCATAATGTTGGGAAAACGAATATATGTTTTATTCAAGTTCTGAGGGTTCTAAAAAAAACTAAAATTATTAATTAAGGCTAAAAATACATATTAAAACCTTTGGGTTTAAGTTATGGAACTCAATGACATTTTGTATTTTGAGATTCAGGACAACGAAGATCAATATATGCGAACCCTAAGTATGCCTTAACGGGGCTGTGCAACAATAATCGCCTCAATATTTTTTGTGCTTTAATTGAGCTTACTGGCACTATAGTGGGACCCAAGCGTATTCACACGCAACGCCACCGATAAAAAAATATTTTTTGCAGTATAATTTTAAAGACAAATGCAAGCGTTTTCTTTCAATCTCCCCTTCGCAAAACTTTATGACGTAACTGTCGCAGTAACCCCACAGTGGTGATATTTGGATGCAGCTAATAGATTGGACCCGAGCATTGGGTGAACACTCTATTTGGGCTCGCGATTATCGACAGCTCGAGTAAGATTCGGATAGTGAATCGTGTCCACTCGCTGAAATGACGGCAATGGCCGAACCATAACAATGTTTGGAACTCAGCGCGTGAGGCGCTGCAATCGCCCATGAAGGAAGCCGCATCTACGTCGAGCTCTGTGTTTTTGGATCGAAAACTCCGGCGTAGTCACCCTTACGACACCGAAGACGTCATGAAGAACGGTAAAGACCCTCCGGACTCACGTAAGCTCAAGTCGTGCTCCGGCGGATCGGCCTTTTCTACCTCCGAGGAGGGTTCTGAATCCGGTCTGGAGAGTAGGCCTAGCGTGGCCGATGTGAACGTTGCGGCGGCAGGACCCGGCACCGCCGGGAACTTTAGCGCCAACGACGCCATCTATCCCGCCATGGAGGTATCGCAAGCTGATGCGGATGAGTCAGCTGCAGCCGGCTCTACGTTAACGCCAAATGGTTCTGCCGCGCCGACGGGCGCCGGGTCCCCAGCACAGCGACACTCGCCGCCGCTGCAAGTCTACCGCACACCGTCGCCGGCCTTATCCTACCGAGTCAACGTCCGGCCACGAGAGCCGTTCGACATGACACAGGTGCCGGGTAAGGTGCTGCAAACGGTTACTAATCAAGGCTTACAAACAACGGGATATCGGGGCTACGAAGTGCACCGACCGTCGAACTCCATCACGCTGCATGTCGCAACGCTGGAGGACGCTGTGTGGATGTGCCAACTCTCGGCGCTGCCACTGTCCGAGCAAAAGCAGCTCCCGGTACAAGCATATCTGGCATCGGGCCCTGATATTACAAGATGTGTGGTCTATCGTACACACAGAAGACCCAAGTGAGAACATCCTATCGGATCTTCACTGCTCGTCCCACAAAGTCATAGCTGCGCGCCGTCTGGGCAAGCGAGACACGTACCTGCTCATGCTACAGGGCCTCCAGGACATTCCGGACATTGTTTACTACTGTGGGGGTATTTTCCTCCCCCGGCCCTATCAGCCGAAGGCGATCGTATGCTACAAGTGCTGCCAATTAGGGCATATGCAGACTTACTGCCCACAGGCCAAACCCAACACAGACCTAGTCACACAGGACGGTCAACCCCGGTATCAATGTGGTCTATGTAAAACAGATGACCATCATATCACGTCTCCCAACTGCCCCCGCAAGCGACAGGCGACACTGCGCTCCCGCCAACGAAACCGGCTGCTGGATAGGCAGTTGCCGACGAAGAATAGGTTCCTGCCCTTAGTGGATGTTGATCCGGGAGATGCCGACGAAGGGGGGGACTTCCCAACGCTGTCCTACGCAAATGCGACCGTGAAATCCAAACGGCAGTCACAACGCCGGATGCAGAGAGCCCCCGCTCAGGAAACCTCGGCTACGGAGATTGATCAACAAATTGAGCGCCTTACACGGGACATCGCCAGAAGTCAGGAGCTCATACAACAACTACAGGCCAGGCGACAACAACTACGGATAGCCCCAGCTCGACCTCGGGAGAGCCAGGAACACGACTTCAGTGCTGACGACGACACTCAGGATGTCCAAATGACAACCCTCCAGCTTCTCATGGCCATATACCAACACCTGAAAGGCTCCCCACGACTTTGTAGAGTAAAATCGCCATAGGTACCGTGCTGCAGTGGAACTGCAGAGGCCTCGCTGCCCGGCGCAACGAGCTTCTCTTTCGTATGCAGTATGGCATCATCAAGCCCTGGGCATTCCTCCTCCAAGAAACACACGGTCTGCCCAACCTCTATCAATTCACGGGGTATCACTGTCCCTCCATTATTTACAGGCGCTTTGGAATAGACGACACTGCTCCTGGCAAGGCGGCGATTTACGTCCGTACTGATATTCCGCAAGAGCAGATTGATACGTCACAGTGGTGCACAAAACGACAGGAGGTGGTAGCCGTCCTTGTCCGACGCAAGCAAACTAAGGTGATCTTGGTGTCAGTGTACGGAAAACCCGGGAGTGCACGGCTTAACTTCGGCTGGATCCAGCATCTCTGTCGGCGATACCTACATGTGCCAGTTCTGGTGGGTGGCGACTTCAATGCCCTGCACACAAGCTGGGGTTACGCCACCGACTCTGGTCGAAGCCGACAGGTGTACAGCCGCTTCAGGGACTCATCTTACGTCCTGCTGAACGAGGCCCACGTCTCCACTCGTCCGCTCACGGCTCCTAATACACCGGATCTTACATGGTGGCAGGGGCATGGCCTTCCCAGATGGACAGCGGAACCGCACTGTTGGGGCAGTGTTCCGATCCCTGAAGGCCTATTCACATTCACCTATCCCGTCATCTAGTCAAGAAACAGCGCCGTATGACTAAAGTGATTAACTGGACGGAGCTTCGAACCTCTACCACCTTAGAAGGCGCCACGGCGGACTCCATTATGTTGGAACTCAAACAAGTTGTGCATAAGCATACCACCGAACAAACAGTGAATCAAGATCAGCCGAATCCGGATCTTCACCTCATTCGTCTGTGGGACCAACGTAAGCAGGCGGAACTCCAAGCCCGCTCACTCCCTCAAACGAGCAGCTTCAGTGGGAGGTGAATCGCTTAGCTGCTGAAGCAAAAAAGTATGAGACGCAACTGAGCGGACAACGATGGAGAGACTGGTGTGAATCCTTTGGCTCTTCCACTTCCTCTAAGAAACTCTGTCGCACATATCATGCCATGGAAACCAACAAGGCTGCCACTCCTCGGCCGTGCAACATACAACTGGCCATGGGATTAACCAACGAGGATTTCGCCAGGCATGCGGCCATGGCCTTTTTCCCACAACATAATAGCCCCACAACCACATGCTCGGCTTCCTACGCTGTGGATGACTGCGGCATAACATCACCAATTACCAAGGCCGAGCTCATCGCTGGAATCGAGGCAACTAAGAAGAAATCCGCCCCGGGACATGATGGTATCACTTATGAAGTGTTCAAGAATCTTGAGGGGCCGGCGGTGGACAACCTCTTAGGGGTCCTAAATGAAGTATGGACGGATGGGGAAATCCCACAGGAGTGGAAGCATGCTATCATTGTTCCGATCCCTAAATCCGGGAAAGCAGCTAAAGACCTCACAGCTTTACGCCATATTGCTCACGCCTACCATATGTAAAATAAACGAGTGGATCCTAGCCTCACGCATCAACTGGTGGCTTGAAACGAAAGGACTCTACCATGAATCTCAAATTGGCTTCCGACAGCTGGTGGGTGCATAGGACGGCCTACATCGACTGGCCCAAGACATCACAAAGGTGCCGGGACGCATCCAATGGATCCGCAGCATTGTGGCAACCGACATCTCGAAGGCGTGCGATAATATTCATCATGCCGCCATCTTAGATGCTATGGTCAACTTACAGTTCCCACATGGGATTATAAGGGCCATCCACAACTTCTTGACCAACCGCACCTTCTCGGTGCGAGTGGCAGGGGAAAATTCTGTTCCCTTTACCGCTAACTGTGGGGTGCCCCAAGGCTCTACCCTCGCGCCCATTCTCTTTAATATTGCATTCATCCAACTCGCATGGAAATTGGCACAACACAAACACCTCACGTTCCTAATCTACGCTGACGATGTGACGCTCTGGGCCACCCATCTGGACCACACTCAACATCAAGATATACTTCAACGAGGGCTGAACACCCAAGCCATTGGCCTGGAATTGTCCCCATCTAAATCTTGCTACATGCGCGTCTGCAATAATGCTGCCCGCAAGAAGCTAAGAACAGACGACCTCGATCTGAAGGTGGCTCAACAAACACTCCCCAAAGTTGAAACTACGAGAATTCTCGGCCTCCAAATCCACAAGACCGGCAGTACCAAAGAGTGGCCCTTATCCATAAAGAAATCAGCCCACTCTATGCTCCACCTTATCAACCGCATCTCCCAGAGACGTGGAGGTGCTTGTTCTGCGATTGCCACGTGCCTCGTGAAGGCCATTTTACAGCCTAGGATAATCTACCAAGCACAATTTCAGGACCTGACAGAGACGCAATGGAACTCGCTGGATACTGTCAACCGGGCAGCGATGCGCAGCATTACCGGCCTCCCGATGCATACGCCTAATAAGCTGTTACAGGAGCATGCTCACCTGAATACACTACGACAATTATGTGATCAACGCACACAAGCCCGGGTTGCCAAACATCAACTGTACGCTTCAGAATGTCACAAGGAAACGTCATACATTGAGAAGATACAGCAGCTTCCCCCCTGGAGTTTCTCCTGCCGTACCACCAATAAGACCTCCCGCCGTAAAACACGTCAAAATCCCAAGGCCCATAATCCAAACCCTTCTTCTCCGGTTCACTGTATCCTGTACACGGACGCTGCATGCACGCAAAACGGAGGAGCTACTGGATTCGTCAGTCGCACTCATCCCCACCTTGACGACCAGAAGAAGTTTGCTACATCGGACGCATCTCCTTTGCTGCTTGAGCTACAAGCCATCTATGAAGCCCTTCTCGCAGCCTCCAAAGATCACTCCATTGATCAAGTGACCATCTTCACTGCCTCCGCTCAGGCCATTAGACACCTGAAACAGACCAAACAAGCCATGAACATTGTTCAAAAGATCCATCGTTTACGACACCATTTCGCGGGAATGGTCGTCATCGACTGGGTGCAGGGCCACGGCCCTGCAGTGTGCAACATAGCGGCTCATGAGGCGGCCAAACGGGCAGCCCAATCAGAGGACCTGCAGAGCCACACCCTCCCCATGGACATCGTGGCGACACTTCTGGCCACTAAGACCAGGATCCGGGCAAGCACGCGAGCTCTCATACCACCGTGCACCGCCCGGGTTCCCAAGGTCTGTCCCGGCTCCAGGAGGTGTTGCTCCGGCGCATTCCCACTGGATGCGCTATCACACCGGCAGACCTCTCATCCTGGCGAGGGGACCACAGCCGCATCCCTCCCGCCTGCCCCCACTGCCCCGCTCCGGCGGACCAGGTGGATGTTCGCCATCTCATCTGGACCTGCCCGGGGATACGGGCGGATCGGGAGCACTACGTCCTCCATTCGGGGATACGGTGGGACGATCCGGAGGCCTACAAGAACTGGACGACCAACAACGCCTGCGCTCGAAGCCTTCTAGACTTCGTCCATACCGCCAGCCTCCCCGCTTTCCTTTAATTCCTTTCCCACTTAGGCCTGCGGGCCTTTCCTCTGGGCAATAAACAACAACAACAACTCAGCGCGTGTCCTGTGCTTTGCCAACCCGAACGCGTGGCTATGATCAACATTGGTGGAATGTAATTGGCTCCAGATCACGCGGCCGCCTCCCCTGGCTGCAAGTTGAGAGGATGAACCTGCTCGTTTTCCTTTCATTTTTTGATGCGACTTCTATTGCCAATGGTAAAAACATACGCGCGTGTCATACTTCATTAACCTGAGGAATATTTTTTAACACCGCAGCTTGGGCTAGTTGGTTTTTCATGATTTGTACTTCAAAGCGCATAAACGTCTCACCATAGCAGGCACTCACTCAATTACAGAAACAAAAACATACACACAGCGCTGACTCACAACACTTTGTAATTTGTCTTCGTTTTCTTCTACTTAGTGCTAAAACAAAATGTGAAAATTGTTTTTTCCTCACTTTTTTTTTTCTCTGTGCCAATTAAAACTAATTCCTATAATAGTCAGCGATTATCATCTTAAGGCGATAATTAGGAAATTCTTTTTAAGGGGTATTCGCGCAAAGTAAAAAAAAATCGTCTCATCTCCCCTCTAAAGCAATCCAGCCAACGTCGCTAAGATTATTCCCAAGCTTGCTTCACTGCTTTATGTAATTTAGTCTTAATTTATTATATTGTTCCGCTGTGGGGGAGTGCTTCGCTGAACGGATAAGACCTATTAGGACTAAAAAACGGAGCTCACATAAATATAAACCTATATAGCAGTTTATATAAATTATCTTACGCCTACCCTTGCCAAGTTTAGAATTTGGAAAAGATATCGTTCGAATACCGCAGTCTACCATAAATAATATCCGCAATTGTATTCAGAAATGTTTACTGCAAATAAGAGCTATTCCTGTAAAACTAAAAAGGTTGTATTTTGGAATATGCTCGATGCTAGCGTTTTTAACGTCCCGCTGTGGGGGAGTGCTTCGTGTTTAGCACTCGGATGCGCTGCGGCGAGGCAAGATAAATAAATTGGGATGCTTCCTTCGCGGTAGCCCTTCACTGAAGTACCAAAGAGCGCGGTGAGAAGCGCACTCAGCAAAGCTACCTTACACCCGCGAGCAGCCAAACATAACAGGTAATTTCGAGAATTTCAAGTACTATCAGTGTTTGACACTGACAGAAAGATCAAATACGATCTTACGTTATTTTCGGCTAAATTCAAAAGGTCTGAAGATTTGAACAAGCTATACCACAATCACCCCGACGCGTAGCGGGCCCCGAGTCATTATAATTTCCGTATTAATAGAGTGAAACCAAGTTTTGGCGCAATGTTGGCGCGAAGTTTCTGACTTTGTACTAAATCTAGCAGGCTGTAGGAGAGTAAGCCCTTTCGCGCGTTCTGGCGCAAATGGAGGAGCAATCACCTCACTGGACATTGTATCAAATAACTTGAATGGGACAAAGACCACAGGCCTAAATAATGGAGAGAAAAAAATGAAAGCCGTTTACAACTCCTTGTAACTCCGAATTGGAGCGCAGCTCTTGAGGAGGAGGAGGGAAGGGTACTGAGGGTCACGTGTTCTCGGGGCGGGGGGGGGGGGGAGTTGTCGCGTGACCTCGGGGGGGGGGGGGGGGGGTCATGTGACCTTTGGGGGTCACGTGACCCCCAGAAAAATTTTTCCGCTAGATTTAGCGGGGAATTTTTTCCGCTGTATCTAGCGGAGAAATTTTTCCGCTAGATTTAGCGGGGAATTTTTTCCGCTAGATTTAGCGGGGAAATTTTTCCGCCAAATTTAGCGGGGAAATTTTTCCGCTAGATTTGGCGGGGAAATTTTACCGCTAGATTTAGCGGAATTTTTCCCGCTAGATTTAGCGGGAAAATGTTTCCGCTACATTTAGCGGGAAATGTTTTCCGCTAGATTTAGCGGAGAAAGCTTTCCGCTAGATTTAGCGGGGAAAATTTTCCGCTAGGTTTAGCGAAGAATTTTTCCCGCTAGATTTAGCGGGGTAATTTTTCCGCTAGATTTAGCTGGGAATTTTTTCCGCTAAATCTAGCGGGGAAATTTTTCCGCTAGATTTAGCGGGGAATTTTTTCCGCTAGATTTAGAGGGAAATTTTAGCGCTAGATTTAGCGGGAAATTTTTCCGTTAGATTTAGCGGGGAATTTTTCCGCTAGATTTAGCGGGGAATTTTTTCCCGCTAAATCTAGTGAGGAAAATTTTCCCGCTAGACAGCGGGGAAATTTTTCCGCTAAATATGGCGGGAAAATTTTTCCGCTAAATCTAGCGGGGAAATTTTTCCGCTAGATTTAGCGGGGAAATTTTTCCGCTAGATTTAGCAGGAGCTTTTCCCGCTAGATTTAGCGGGGAAATTTTTCCGCTAGATTTAGCGGGGAAATTTTTCCGCTAGATTTAGCGGGGGAATTTTTCCGCTAGATTTAGGGGGGATTTTTTCCGCTAAATCTAGCGGGGAAATGTTTCCGCTAGATTTAGCGGGGAATATTTTTCGCTAGATTTAGTGGGTTTTTTTCCGCTAGATTTAGCGAGAAATTTTTCCGCTAGATTTAGCGGGAAAATTTACCCACAATGCACCGCGCGGTTACGCCGACGCCGACGCCGACGGCGACGCCGACGCCGACGCCGACGCCGCTCAAGCCGGAAACGGGCCCCTAAGAGCTGCGCTCTAAAATAAGCATGGGTAGGCGGTTGCCCATCGTAATGGTTAGGCACATCGGAGTGTTTCTAAACACGGAGAAACAACAGCCTAAGTCGCAAAATGGCGGTCATGGCACTGTTGTCCTAATATCATGCCTGCGTAATAGATCCGCTTCCCGCGTCGAGTCACAGTCACCATAAGGTATCTTTCGGTTGTCGCTTGGTTGTTTCAGGTTGCGCTATAATAACAAGAAATGACCCCTAACGTTCTTAAGGAGAGACGATACAAAGAAGCAATCTACTAACCGTTGTGCAAACGTAATAAAAAAGCAGGGAATACTCTTGAACATATAACCTAGGATATGCAAATAAAAATTACACAGCCTAAAGACTCCAAGAACAGGTGTATATAAAAAAAGTAAATTCTAAAGAAGTAATAATTCTCGTGTGGAGTAAAAACATAAGGGTGGCTTGTTTAACATTCTAACATCCATCATTATTGTTGCTGATGATTTCCGTATAAAGTTTTCTTTTCTTTTTTCAGAACTATTTCAGTAAAGACATTTAAAGGCACAAAGTTATTCCATCAAATATTTTCACACTCCCAAATACGGGTCCCTCCTTTCTTGCAAAGTTTACGAAGGCATTCAGCAATAACGACTGAATTATTTAGTACACATGTTGCAGAAAAATGAGAACAGGTATTTAGCTGTGTCAAGACACTTGATGAAATATCATAGCTCTTTGCCATTATAAACTCTACTGAAATAGTTTTGGCCATGCGAATGACCACAATGACATCCTGAAAGAATAAAGAGCAGTGATAAAGCTCAGAAATGTATTGAATACGCCTTCTCTGTCTTTTGACTCCGAGTGGAAGAAGTTTCTTGACCTGCATTTTTTTAGTAACAGGTTTGGTGTCTGTCTGTTTTTGAAAACTGGACGTTGTGTATGATGTTTCTGTATTTCCTCTGTTGAAAGCTCATGGGCATTCTCTGTTGTTTTATCAATCACATTTCTCAAAGTTTAGTAAGTTACATCTCTGCGTTTTCTGTCATTGGGTATGCTAAAGTAGTGTATAGTAAAAGGCTGTAAGACCCTGGAACGAATTCCTTTTGTAGAGTGGTAAGCCATTGTTGCAAAGAGCGTCTTCGCGTCTGCCCGTTTCTTTTCTGAGGGCTGCCGATCTATTTTGTCTCCCTCAAATTTCCGCAGTGTTTCAGACTTCTTCGAATTCGTGCCATCCTTCAGAGAAAATTTGTCCCGGGTAAATTCACATTCTTTAACCTACACCAGCTAGTTTACGCCTTCATTTTTTCGATAACAAATTTCTGTGTGAGTTACACTACAAGGGATAACATGAACAATGTTCGCGATTCATTTGCAAGCACACAGTTAATGCATAAAATTGAATATGAGCATACCTTTGTTGACTAGTGTTGATGATTGGACTAGTCGATGGACCAATATTAAAGAAAAACATTGCGGAGAACACAGGAAGGGACGAAACAAACACACCACAGGGATGAGCAAAGCAAATGATTGAACCTTTTTGAATAGATTCTTTTATTTTGCTGTAAACATACATACAAGTCGCACGCTACTTTACAACCAAAGGTGCCACTTACCTTAAAGGGGTTATGACACGCCAAAAATAAAATATTACATAACTATTCAGCTAGGACCCATTCTATGTTCCTATAATCCTGCTAAATTTGTTTTAAAAAAGGCGCGATAATTTCGTGGATAAATCGATTTATATGCGGGCCCCTCGGAGGGGCAGATCCAGGCGGACCTGGAGGCTGATGACGTAGCCAGCCTCCAGCGTGGTGTCTACTTGCACGCACTCACAGACTCGGCTCTTCTTGGCATATCAACTCTCAGCTTCCTCGTTTACCTTCCACGTTTCCAGCATCCGGTCTGTGACGATTACGTCTACGGCATCGATCGCCTTGTCGAAGTGTTCGACATTGATCGCAGCAGCGATGAGAGTGATTGCTATCCAGAGATGTTGGAAGCTGTTCATT